CCTTTAGCTCCTGGTGTAAAAATTGAAAAGTTGTTGAGGATTGCTAGTTCGGCTGCTTCTTTGTCTTTGTCATTTTGTTTGTTGTAGATTTTTCATTAAAGAAGCATCAATAAAGTAATTTTAAAACTGTTTATTGGAAAACTGAAGCGATGCATTCTGGGTATATGACGGATTTGATTTGTGACTGGCAACGAAAGCACAGAGTACAGGAAACGATCTGCAAACTTCAAAATTAGAGCTTGGATTTTAAAGTTTTCCATGTAGTTGCTCCAGTTGACCACTAAATGTCAGTCTAACCCCGTTGGCTGATTGCTTCACCCATTTTCATCAAGTATTGAGGTCCAACATTTAAACTTTTTTTTTTAAAAAAGGAGCTCTGATTGTAAACTAAAATAAATCAATACATACAAAATTTTAGTATGGATTACAAACGTTTACTGTTTTTGCTGGGAAAGGGATTACTAAACATTGCCTTCCTGCTACTTAAGCAGACACAAAGCATTGTGGGGAATCAGAACCGTGACCCAAAGCCACAGTCAGCAGGATGTATACCTTCACAATAAGTGTGTTTATCTGGGAGAGGTGCTGTTGGATCATATGTGTTGTGATTCATTGACAGTCATACCTTCCACTGTTCAAGATAATGATGACTGGTAGATAATTAGTTATTAGTGGTACTGCATTTTAATTTTAGAAAGCACAAATCCATTTATGAATTATAAAAGTTAGAGAAGACTGCTAAAGCGCAAATGAAATATTTAGGTCTGCAATTAGTGGATGTGCACTTTAGCGGGCTGGTGCCCACCACTGGTAAAAGTTACAGTCAAGCAGTTTGGTGGCTGCAACAGCTCAGTAAATGTTCATGAGTGGAGACAGCAGCTCCAACAGTGCCTGGATGAAGAGGGAGAAAAATGTCAGAGGATTTTTGGGGCTAAAGATCAGGAACATGAAGAAATCCATGCTGTTTCCACCGATCAGCTGCAGATAATAGCATTACAGCTCAATGTCCTARTATCTTTCACATGTGGATAGCAACTTCAAGCTCACCTCCCAGGGTCTCAGGCTAAAATAACAAAAGAGCTGAAGGATGTAGATGAGTTCAGGAGGCGACAAACAACAAAATAAATGACTGAAACAACTTTGATGTCTTCCCCTCCTCCAAAAAATAAAAAATAAAATCTGCAGCTTCTCCTCACCGCTAACTTTGAAAACATGTAAAAAGGTTTTTTGATGTTTCTTGCTTTTTATGTTGTCTGAACCAAACAGTGTTTCTTTTCTTTACCTGTTACAGTACAAACATTATGAATGACTTCACKCTGTGCAACACTGGCGCATGTAAAAACAGCTTCCTGAGTGCAGCCTAAAATAAATACTAACCACCAAGTGAGTGATGGAGGAATGAAAAACACCTTGTAGCTAAAGAAAGTATTCATTATGCAGGAAAACACTGAGAAATAAAACATTTTCCATTGTCTACCATTTTCTTGTTCTTAATGTTCAGCAACAGGTTCAGGAGGGAAACCCAAACAACAGATTATCTGGAGACACTCTCCAGCTTCTCCTAAAGAATCTCAAGATGTTCGCAGACCAGAGAGTGTTTAAACCTTTATAGACCAGTAAATCAAGACAGACCCAGAGACTGTTCCACYTTCTTCTCTATGAGAATTATGGCCTCAGATTTGGGACAGCTGGATTATAATCTGTCTGCTACACACTGAGTTAGGGATGGACGATAAGGACTAAAAATTTATCATGATAATTTCTAGGTTTTATCACAAAAACGATAAGTGACGATATATATATATA